AGTCAATCAATCAATCATGATGTAGAGCATGTGATTATACAGGGAGAAACCCAAGCTAGAAGGTGCATATTACAAATGAAAAAATGCAATGTCCATCTCCATTCATACTGATTGGAGGGTTGGGTTTTAAAAAAATTATAAATAATTTTTTTTTTATCCTTTCTAGTGTATTATTACAGTAAATACATAATATTATTAAAAACTATTATTATTTCAATGCTTGATCCGTAATGGGTAAAAGAGGGTTGTCAAAAATTTTATTAAAAGTCTAAATACCTAATTTTTTAAAATATAATTTGGCCGGTGAAAGAAAATAATGAAAGTAGAAAACCATTTACACCATGGAAGAATGCAATATTAATTTCAAAATTGAAGAGCTTGAGTGTGAATGGTCAATGGACCAATGCACAAGTTGATTGTTGAGAATATGTTGCCAGCTTAGTGACTGTCATAAACTAGAAGGGGAACAGTTCATTATTTACTTCATTGTTGGGAAACTTTGCATTATGCATGCTTAAAGAAAAAGTTGGCAAAGTTGTATTATCAAAAATCAACTTTTGTCTTGAACTGACCATTCACACTCAAGCTCTATTTGCCCTGGCTACTGAGCCCGGTGTTTCAAAACTATATTTATTTTTAAAGTAACATTTCAATAATAACAACAAATATTAGTTCAGCGAATCTGGAATTTATGATTTATTAATACTAACTTAAAAGAGCAAGGATAAAACAGGTACTTTTCTGGAGCATATTTATTATGAAAATAAAATAAGCAAAGTTTTTTTATTAAATCCACCTGAATGTTTATTTACATGTCAGCTTATTTCACTTTCAAACAATGTACAAAGGAATCGCTGTTCTTGTCAATACAATTTTCTTTCGCCGCCACACAAGTAGGCACATGCCTTTCTCTTTGAACTTGTGGCCACGATGGTCATTGGCTCTCCTCCTCTAGGTGGCAAAAGGGGAGACGGGATTAAGCTTAGACACTTCCCGACAGTTTACCTACTTGAAAGCCTCAGCCGCTATCCGACCGGCTCAAACATAGTTGCCAGTGAGATTTGGTTTCCCTGCTTTGGGTTGGATATTAAACTGATTACCCTGTATGAATATGCATGCACATTAAAATAGAGTGAGTATGATACATATCTACGTTACATGCAGCACATACCAAAGAGCATTAACTTTATCACTATCAGTACTTGTTTTATGGTTGCAATGGACTGTTCACAAGGATGTCTTCATCAGGAGTTCATTAACCCCAGGTCACTTTGAAGGAGTTAATTGCCTTGGTAGAAACCGTCATACAGGACACCCGGTACCCTGAGTGGATTACCACCTCACACCTAGTTAACTTTTACTCAGAGGATAAATTCCCGAAGTGGCCACCTATCATTTTCCCTTTACTCTCACTCTCTGCGGCCCTCAAGATTGCTTTGGCCTATTGGTATCTGGATAAATAAAATACAGTTCTCTCTCTTTGGAAACCACCTCCTACAACGCCTGGGTCGGGCCACCATGCCAGGTCAGAGCTACTGGCTTTGCAGGCCAGTACCAGAGTCAAAACAACGTGCCAGGACAAGTCCCTCCTCTATGCCGAGAGTATCGGGCCACTTTCACAATGAAGCAAGTGCCTAATTGAGAGCCACCCGAGGAGCTCGGGGCTTCCAAGCCATATCCTCACTGCCTTCAACTTGTAGCAATCGCTGTGACTTCTGCCAGTCCCTAGGCAACCTTACAGAAGGGTTCATGGTCCCCTCTGGACCATATATGGAACCTGGATCATTCCAAAGATGTCCTTCGCTCAATACCGTCCAAAGGTCGTCACGCCATGAGCCCAATTGGTGGATTACCGGGCGAACTTGCCAAAGAGAGCTTAGCATGGCCTACTCACTGCTCCACACTACTCCATCTTGAAGCTAATGACTAGTGTGTTGCAATGAAAAGAAGTTTCCACCAGTACTCTATGGTCATGATTCCCCACTGTGGGGTGTCATATGGGGCATGGTTTTAACTCTTGACAATGCTTTTCACAAGGAAATGCTACTTCATGTGGGATGGAAACGTCACTCTTTCAATTTTTACTTTCTCATATAGGTAAGTACATACAAAGTAATATTTGTGGATCAGATAGTTATGTAATACTTCAGAAAATAATTGTCAAAATTTCAATGGGAATAAATGTTCTGGTGTCCCCCAATATCGAAAAGGGTTTATTTTCTCTCTATCTAAACATTCATTTGTTTGTTGATCACAATTACACTAGCGCCTAAACCATTCACAGGATTCTTTCCAAAATACATACTTCCCCATCAATCCCAGGAGAGTCAAAGTGAAGCAAATTTGAAATAAAATGGTATAATTTTTGGGGATAATTCAAGTAAAGGGAATGGAATTTTTAATTTTTTTAGGAATAGCTTTTCTTTCTAAAAAAATCTTTACATTTTCTTGCGAGAGTAGAGTGCACTACAGTTATAAAAATAACATAAGTCAGATTTTCACTGTTACCTCTGAATTTTTTCAAATTTGAAAACATTTTTGACCCTCTTCTACAAAAATTTTATTGAAGGAACTTTTTTCTCAAAGAAATCTGTTTTCCAAAAATAAATCTTTAATTGATGTTGAGATCATTTTTCAAAAAAAAATTATTGCTTTGTAATTTTGAATAAAATATGGCCAATTTTAAAAACACAATTTACACACAAATAGTTCAAACTTTTCTCTTGAAGTCTTTTTGAATGGTTAGACCTAATGCACATTTTGATGTGCAGAAAATTTTGAAAACGAGGCTTCATGGGAAGTTCTCCCCCCCCACCACCACCACCACCAAAATCTCTCTTTCAAACTTGCTAGCCCTAAAGTTTGTTCATATTGACTGGGGAATATCAATTTTAATTAATTATTCGTATCTGTGATTTGCGGATTCAGCATTCACAGAGAAAACTACATTTATGTCCATTACATCTAATATAAATTTTTGTTTCTTGTGCATCTTCTAATGAGAGCATTGCTTTCTGTATTTAATGAACACTGAATTTCAAATCATTCAATAATAAAAGATGTGAAATAATACTGTTGACCAGTTTATAAAGAAACTTCATATCATTTAATTCCCTCATTATTTTTAATGAAGGAATGTTTAGAATAGTCAATATTTCTTTATAATTGAGGTCAGTAAATGGATCAGGCAGAGTACAGTATAAGAGACCATTCTAAAAAATTAATGCTGAACTGTTTCTACATGTTTTGTACAAATGTTACAGATAGGACTCCAACAGGCAAACAACAGTAAAGGTGTGACCAGATATAAATACAATAATCTCAATGGTTTTGTTTTTAGTTCTCAACAAGTCTTTCTAACAAGATTTTACATTTGGATTGATTTATTAATTATTTTATGAATATGTTCATGGAATGTCATTTTGCAGTCAATAATAAATCCTACATCTTTTATAGAATTGAACATTTAAATAAAGGAGGAGGTATGTGACACCAGCTGTGAGAAGGTAAGTAATCCTACGAAATTAGAAGTTCCAGCTTAAAAATTTACTGACATTTTTATGCATGATAAGACACAAAGAAAATAATGGCATATTTTTGTGAAGTTTTGAAATCTATGCATATAAAAAGAGAAGAGAACTAGCTAAACCAATAACTAAGCAAGGTATTAATAATTTTAAAAAAGGTAAAATATTCAACTGGAGTTTCTTACTTCAGGTGATTGAAATTGAAACATACTTTACTTCTGAGCAATTCTATAAAATTTGCTTTCTGAAACCTCATAAACCTTGATTAGGTGGCCACCTCAACTGAAGGCTAATTTTGCCTGAACCTCATCAACCATTTATATTACACACACACACATATACATATTTACCCAAATATAAGGCGAGGGTTTTTCCCAAATACATCAGTAAAAAAATGTGGGGACGTCTTATATTCGCAAATTAAACCTAGTCGGTTAGGGTCTAGGTTTAAAAATTTCATGTCCTGAAACTCAAATGTCAAAGGAACAAGCTACAAAGATGGTAAAAATATTGTGAGTTTCTATAATACGTAATCTGTGACTGTATTATGGGCATCCACCGCAAATTTACCGGGCATTCAGACAGATGTTTTGGGATGGGCTGGTAAACAGAGAATCTCACATGAATTGCACTGTAATAAATGAAACGTAACGTGAAAACGAATGCTGAGATTTTGTTCCATGATGCAGGTTCGAAGAGGCCATGCGGAATCTCGGTTTGACACCTGGTGAGTGCGAACCTACATTTTGCGAGAGACGGAAATGAAAATAATCATATTGATAGAATTTTTTACATCCAACCACAGAAAAGATTGTTAAAAAAATATTTTCTTGGCAAAAACTTCCCAAACGTGGAAACTTGCTGCTGTCTCTCATGTTTCCTGCTAAACAGAGGGGCGGAGGGGGGCATAGATGGAAGACTTTGCAGATCACAACTAATACAAAAAGTAAATTATGCTATTTTCAAGTTTATTTTATCATAGAATGTGAAAAAACTCTTACAAAACACAGAGGCTGTTATCAGTGTGGGACAGATCTGGTGTTACCAAAGGGAATGTTTTTAAATGGTGTCTGATGACCGACTGAGAATAATACAAACTCAATGCGTAAAACTTTCAGAGAGATCTAAAAGTCAAAAGATGTCACATAATGGAAGGAGGGCCAAACAAAAACATTGATAACGTGATGATGACAAGGGTAGTGATAAAAAAAACCTTGATTATGATGATTTTAAGGAACAAGAAAATGATAGTTAAATGATAAGTTCTTATCAACAAAGCAATTTTCTAGTCAATAAGACAATGTGCAATTTTATTTTAACTTAAAAAAGTAAGAATAAGTTTCAAACTTTACAAATTCTCAAGCCTCTTGAAAATTAGGGAGTCGTCTTATATTCAGGTAAATACAGTAAAGATTTCTACAAATAACATTGACAAACTTTATTTCTACCTTACTATAAATAAATAAAACTTACTTCTTTATCTCCTCTTTTTCTGAGTCTTTCTGCTGGCTGTCCCTTGAAGAACAATTGTTCCGGTACTTCTCGTAAATTTCATCAGGAAGGCGCTTCACTACAACACTACACTTCTGAAGTTTTTCAGTCGATTCATCACTTTCACCACCCTCTGATGAAAGTTTCTTATCTGATTCACCTTTCATTCCTTCACTGGCATCTGAAAAAACACCACTTTGGTTTTTCCTATGAAAATTCTGATAAGCTAATGATTTTGATGAAAGCGGCCCACATTTTTCTTTTGGCATATCACTAGCTGTAGGTTTTCTGTGTTTACGAAAACTAATATGACTTTCATCCGATGAGCTTGACGCCAATAAAGCCATCATAGCCTTTTTCTCCTCATCCTCATTACATTTGGGCTTCATGTTTCTCTTTTTCTTTTTTGTTTCATTTAGAGAGGACTTCTTCTCATTTCGATCAACATGATCATCAGCTTCAGAACCACTATTTGTTTCATTCTTCAAATCTGTCCTGTCACTCTCTTCACCTGAAAGCACTTGTCCACAAGAGTCTAAATTACCTCCAACATTGTCACCATCACTTAATGCATCTTTAGGAGAAGATTTAGTAGCTACGTTGCTGAGGATTTCTTCATCTGTATTACCTACATTATCTCTATCACTGTCACTTGATGCATCTTTATGAGAAGATAAAGTAGATTTTTTGTCATGATTTTCTCCTTCAGAATCAGCAGAATCATCTTTACTGTCCTTTAAATTATCTTTGCAAGATGAGAGTGAATTTTTTTCATTACTAGTTTCTCCTGCTATGAGATCATCTTTCTCTTCAACACTGTCCTTAAGAAAATTTTTTTCAGTAGAATTTTTTAACGAATCAAGTTTTTCGGAATTTGCAACCGATTTGTTCATTTTATGCTGTTTTTCACTTCCTGAATCACTTATCACATCTTCATCAGAACCAACATCAATCACATTTTCTTTTTCCTCACCAGCAGGAAAGCCTAAATTATTTTTATCTAATAAATTCAAATCCTTCACATGAGTTTCATCTTTTTTGTCTATATTTTCTTTACAGGAAATTGGTTCAGTAGAGGCACCTGATGAATTTTTAGATTTTTCTTCCACATGCTTTGTAAGTGTGAGGCTGTCATCATCTGAGCCAGAATTCTCCTCCGCACTTTCAAGAACACTTTTTCTCTTTGATATTGTTTGTTGGGTTTTCAATTTATCACTTACTTGCATTTCTTTATTGTTTTTCATATTGCTTTCTTCATTTTCATCACACACTAGATTATTTTCTTCAGATTCGTTTTCACCATTTCTTATATCTTTCTCCTCACACAAATCATTAGATGACTTATCACTATTTCTTATTTTTTTCTGTTTATTTTTCAAAGAAACTTGGTCCTCATTATCTACAATTTTTGAGTCAGTAAGATGACCATTTTCACTTCTTTCCACACATAATTTTGGTTTATCCCCACAAGCATCTTCAGATTGCAAAACTTGAGAAGAAATATCACTGTTGCTCTGAAGTTCTTGATCATTATTTTCAATTTCTTCCTCACTATTGTCATGCTTTTCATTCAATTCATCATTTTTGTGTTTTTTAGAATCATTCGTATCACTTTTGGATTTGGAACATTCTGAAGAACTTTCATCATCATTATTGTCATTCCCATTCTTGTCAAGAACACGTTCATCGTTAGAGTTATTTTTTAATTTTTCCTTGGAGTTTTCACTATCACTCTTATTCTTTTCCATTTTGTTTACATCACTTTGGCATAATTCCTCACCAGAATTATCACTTTCAGAAAACTGATGGACTGAAGGTTTAGCATATTTCGTCTTTGGCTTCTCAATTATTTCATCATTTTGTTTTTCTTCCATATTCTCATTAGGTTTACACCCCTCCTTTTGAGCAGGAGATTCTTTTTCTGAATCTGAATTTTTTTCGTCTTTCTGCTCATTATTTTCAGTAACACTGACAAATGATTTTCGATAACCGAGAATAAAATTTTCACAAACTTGAGAAACTGACTGACAAGACATTTCTTCTAACAGCATCACTTTTTTTAGAAGCTTCTTTCTACCTGTATATTCCACAAGGTTTTCAACAATAATTTCTTCTTTCAATACTTTTTTAACTTCACTGGTCATAGCACGTAAAAATTTCAGAAAATATTCAATCTGTTCTTTACAACTAGTTGCAAGAGTTTCTGCAGCTTTTACGTCCAAAGTAGTATTGCGATCAATTTCTCTAGTATACAGATGTTTATTCAGCTCATTTCTTTCGCCTAATGTGTCTTCAGAATTTTCTCTCTTCTTCTTCTTTCCCAAAGATTCTTCTGGGCTACTATAACTTCTCTTTCGTTTCCTCAATTCAGAAGTGTCAGAAGAACTTCCACGCTTCTTCTTTTTCTGTATGTCAGCTTTCTTTTGGACCTGTAGGAAAATAAAATTAATTAAAATAAAATTAATTATTACATAAAATGGATATAAGAAAATTATTTGCTTAAAGGACTGAACAGTTACATCAAACCCTACATTTCTTATGCTCACTACAGGTGTTGCATATTTTCAGAGGGTCTCTTTCCACCTACATAAAACTTCACAAAAGAAAACATAACTAAATGAAACACAAAATATTCCATGGCGGTTTCTCTGGCACAAGTAGGCTAGCTAATAGGATGTTTCATCTATATCAGCAGCAATGGATGTAGCACCAGTAGTGGCATTTTTGCACATTAAACGCTTTGTCGAATATTAAACATGTTGCTCTGAATATTTTTCGTAGTGTTCTCTCTTTTAAACACTGAAACAACACTCAGTATTCTGGTACTATTTCTCCATATTCTTTCCAATAAATGTTCTGAACACCTTAAGACTATTTTGAAATTGAAATTGCTACAGAATCTTTAGAAATTTGTTGATCCTGTGACCATGGATGTAAGATGCATTACAAGTTTCAAGTTTCAAGATCTTCATTAGTCAATATGAAAGGAAATATTCAATTTTTTATTAGCTTTAGCTGCCATTGTGAACGCACCTAAATTATAAACTACAACCCTTTTTTCCACGACTTCTTTTGTAGACCTTGTCTTCTCTCTTACAATTAATGATCAACCTTTTACAATGTTCAGGATCTTAAGGAAACTTACAAAAATGCAATTCTGAGTTTCTACCTTTGTATTCAGTTTACTGGAGCAGTTATTAGAGAAGAACTGAACAATACGGGCTCTTCAATATTCTCATATCAAGTCACTATTGGTTTACATGCAGGAAATGAAGAAATGGTTAAAATACCTTGCACTTATTAAAAAGAACAAATACCTTGCACTTATTAAAAAGAACAACTTGTAGCACTCCACTAAGGGCTGAATTCATACCCTACACTGAGTGTTCCCTTAAGTACATGAATAGTATTCATAAACAGCCCTTGAGTGAAGTCTTCAGTGAGCACTCATTCCTATAAGGGAGGCAGCCTGCTCCCTTAAAGTGTCCCTTATGGGTCCCTCGCATCGTCAGCCGTAACCAGTTTAGGTTATACTTTGCGGCGTTCACCGATTATTGAATTCGTTTTGCTGGTGTTCGTATAGTGTAATCAGTAAAAACGTTCCATTTGTGAAACATTATGGCAACAACTTTAAAGATTATTTTGAGATTAATACTCAACACATCCTGCGAAGAATATTAAAGATATGAGAAACCCATTGGAAATGTACAATGATGAACAATTCCAAAAGCGGTTTTGTTTCAATAAAACTACTGTATTGCATACACTGCCGATGATCGACGAAGTCCCAATGACTAAAAGAGGACTGCTGATTTCCCTCTTATTAAAAGTTCTCGTTGCATTAAGATTTTATGCAACTTCATTCTTTCAGGTACGTTTCCAAAATTTTTAACTTTTATTCATTACTGATTTAGAAGACCTATTATGAATTTGTATTATGTAATTATGAATTTGCAATATTAATAAAAAGTGAAGTAACTTAAATTGTTGTAAAATGGAATACATGGTTGACATTTTTACTAATTTTCATACTATATGGGGGAGACATTTTTATTACATGATATGTTAATAATCCATTACCAATATTGGCAGGGCTATTTTCATACCATTTACATTAGTTATACTAGAGCATAAGTAAATGTTGTGGAATCAATTGAAACTGCTGTGAAGTATTATAAACACAACGAATGAGAGAGAAAAGTGGTTACAGCATGCGATGTCAACTCAATGTTGGAGTGTCCGCCCCCTGTTAAATTGGACACCCTTTGAACAAGATGAAGTGCATATGTAAACTCGGTTGCCAAAAACTTCGAAACAGCTGCTGCCAATGCCATGTTGTCACATTTCCCTTCTGCTTAATGGAACGGTCATTCCGCGGTCATAAGGAGCGTCTATGAAATACGAGCGCATGAACACTTATTTTTGAGAAAGCACGTACTGCTTAAGGGTTCACTTATCCTATAAGTGACGACTATGGATTCGGCCAAAGACTCACAATAAGGTCCCAACAGCTCATAATAACTCACCAAATCAGAATGTAATGAAAGAAATTCAGTAGTTTACTCTACAGAGTAGTAGTGGTAATCACTCACTGCAAGAAGTGCTGGTGAACAAAAATATTGAGAGCTTCCCTACTGTCTAAATATATACAATGTGGAAACAGGCTTTATGGTTTTTAGTGGGTGTGAACCTCACACTAAATGGGGAAACGGCTACATAGCTCCCAACATGTCTGTTAGATTTTTCACGTTATCTCCAGACAAAAAAATAACAAACAATGTTTAGAAGTATATGTAAGTATATAGGAAACAACACAAGAATATATATTACCCCTTAATCCATAGTTTATGGGTTCAAATAAGAGAAGTAATATTATTATTAAGATTGTTAGGCATAAAAGTAAGTCCTATACCAGTGAGGACAAATACCTGTTCACTTTCTGAGTCACTACTTGATATCTTCGATTTCCTTGATTTGCTTGAGTGAGACCCTCTTCTCTTTGATTTCCTGAAAAATAAATTTTGCATAAGTTTTTGAAGAAAATAAATGGTCAGTGATTAATACCCATTTCATAATGGAAGCAGGAAATAAGATTGAAATGGTGCAAATGCAAGTCAATGCACATGATGGAAGAGAAAATTATTTCTTTTGACCTGTGCAAAACTAACTTGTCTAATCTAAGTCAAATGCCCAGAATGATTTTTTTCTTTAAGGGAGCTTTTATAAGTATATAAATAGCCCCTGTAAAAGAAATACAATTGTAAATACAATCATCAACTATTAACAAGCTGTCTTTGAAATTTTCAACGTTAATGAACAACCTCCACTCTAAATTTGCTTGCTGTGAGGAAGTAAGGAAACTACCAAGAAGCCTTTTCTACCTAAAAAGTTACCATCATGTGAAGAAGTTGGCATGTACTGAGGTTAGAAAAGAGTTCAGAAAAATTTTAGTTCTGACACTTCAGTCAGTATGTCAGTATAAATCTCACTGTAAATTGAAGCAAAAATATGAATGGCATTTTTGAAATAATTATTGAAAGAGAAGTCCATTTATTTAGTGTCAAAAACAATTAAAAAAACAATATACAGTAAAACTGGGACTCAAGGGAAAATATGTTTAAGTAAGAAAAAATACATCACTGAAATCGAATACTATGAACTCAACAAAAACTCAATATTTTTACATTGACGCACTCGACTCTTAGCCTGCTTGCAGATCACCTACCAATGATACTTTTAATTTATTTGATTTATTTTGTCAAAGATCAACAACAACTTTGTGACATGGAGGAAAAGTACTATATGGGCAAATTTTTTTGAGCTTCAGTGTATCTTCCCAACATTTTCATTATAAATAGTTGAATGCCGAATAAAAAAAAGCTTCAAAAACAACAAAGTTAACAACTTTCAAAAACTAGGCACTTTTGCTATCATGTTATAAAAAATTTATTTGCATCAATATATAAATGTGTGTGTGTGTGTTGTTGTTGGGTGTTTGTGTGTGTTTTTGTTTTGCTGATAAAATAGCAACTCACCCCGCCTTTACTCCTACCACAACAAGCAAAAGGTGCGCAACAAAATGTGCACATAGTAGAGCTAAATTCATGTCCAGAAGGAAAACGAGGACCCATTTCAGAAATTGTTCACTGGTTCCGAAACTGGACAAAAGCCTGATCCTGAAGGTTGATTAAGTACATTACTTGTCACTTAGAAGAAATGCAGGTCAGGCATAGGTATGCCTGGTGGAAAAGAAAGCACTGATATTCACACTTTATGTAGCCAGTCCTTCAATGTCATTATGAATCTTTGATTCCCATAAGTTTCAATATTTCCTTTAAGGCATATGTCACATGAGCATTACATTGGTGTACGTCACCTAACATTGGTCACATCAGCTACGTTGACACTTGCACAAACGAGTCACCTAATGCATGTAGTGGATTAACACTATCTTATTTCAATAGGTACACGAGTGCTCTTGGGGATGTGCGTTGTTGCCAATGCACGATGGCGTGCATCAGCACCAATGTATTGGTCACCTATTTCGTTATCATTTGGCCGTTAATCCGTCTGGCGTTTGGCTGTCTTAATGACACTTTTATTAGGAACATAATAAGAGAAATGATATCACAAACTACAGATCTGTATTTATCTTAAATAATGTTGTTAAAGTGTTTGAATACATTCTACTGGATATCCTGATACCTCAATTAAAAAAATAGTAATATAGAAGAACAACATCGTTTTGTAAATGGTAAATCAACCACAACAAATTTACTGCTATTTACTAATGATATGAAAAAGTACTTGGATGAGGATAAACAAATAGGTGTAATTTACACAGATTTTAGTAAAGCATTTGATAAAAGTTGATATTGATATTCAATTGAAAAGGTTTGAAAAAATGGGTTTTGAAGAATTTTTTTTGGAATGGTTGAAAAGTGATTTGAGAAACCAAACACAGCTGGTACAGAGATTTTCAATCTTGTGAAATTAGTATTACATCAGGAGACTCACAAGGGTCTCATTTGGGACCAATTTTGTTTATAATATTCAAAAATGATATAATACATGTTGATAAAAACTCCTCTTTTTTATTATATGGAGATGATTGATGAGGAATTTATTTTGGTGGATTAATTTTCGTGAATGATTAATGAGGAATAAGATTCTAGACTTCTACAGAAGACAATGACACTTTAATTATAATGTATAGAAAATAAGCTCCAATTGAATCACAATAAATGTACATGAGTTAAAGGTAATAATAAAGTTAGGAATTTGTATTTGATTGGAGATGTCATGATTGAAGAAATTAATTAAATTAATAATTTAGAAGTAGTGATGGATCCAAAAATGCTATTTTATGATCATGTTAATTATATAGTTAACAAGTCTGTTATAAAAGGTTTTATAAAAATAAAAAAATAAAATAAAAAAATCACACTTTAAACAACTTGACACAATAGTGAATTTGTATAATGCATTAGAGAAATCAAAATTGATGTACTGCTCAGTAGTATGGTCTCCAAGTGTGAATTTGCAATAAAAAACTTAAGAGTGCACAATAGATTTTTCAGATATGCATAATTCAAGATAAAAAAATCCAATGCCAATTTATTCCCATGATTTTTTTAGACATTTCCCTGAAAACTGAATTACAGTCTTTACAGTCCTCACATATATTACAGGACAATAAATTAATGTACAATCTTTCATTGTCCAGAATTAAGAAATTTATTTGTTCATTACAATAATTCATGTAATATACAGAATGTTTTATTTAAAGAATTGGTTTGCAAAGCACAAAATTACTACTGTTCACCAATACCTCATTTAAAAAGATATTGCTAAGATTATTTGAACTATGAACAATTAGGTATGAGTAAGACAAGTTTTATAGGACGTTTGAAACAGAATTCTGGACTTTAGCTAGTATCATTATTTATTACTAACTTGTAACTTCAGTAATTGCACTTTGTTTTTGTTAATGTTATTAATTTTAATATGTAATACTATGTCATAATATAATAATAATAATACTATGTTAACTTCTGTATGTAGGTCAACTATGTGTGATATATAATTTCGTTTGAGCAAATAAGCCTCTTGTGTAAATAAATAAATAATTAAAAAACATAAGCATGAAAATAGTATAAACATACAACTCATATCTGAAATAATCTAGCTTGGGAAGTCTAGAAATTTATTCGGGAGTTTCAAAAAGAAACATATATACGTAAAAAATTAATAAATGCAAAACTTATTAAGTGTTTCACTCTAATTTGTCTTATTTTGAAAGCTGACCAATGAGAATAAGGCAGTAAAAATAAAAGTGACAAAAGATAAACATTTTGTATTAACATTTGCATCTTTGCAGTTGTTTAAGAATAGTTCAAAGTGCCACAATGGAAAAGTTCTAATCAAGCAAAAAAGGGTAAACAGTGTAGAAAAAAGCACTGTTCCATGTACGAAAGAGAGAACAATGAGGATGGGTGACAATATCAGATGCTTGTAGAGTGGAACCCTAAATTTTTAGTTTGAAAGATCGTTGAAGTGTTAAAGTACAATATGAACTACATAGTCACGGTATTTGTTTAATTATTGAAGAGTAGGAAAGTAAATTAAAGTGTGTTTTGTGAACTGACAAGACACCAAGGTAACTAAAGGAAAGTAATAATGTACCACAATTTGTCAACGAAGACCCCTCCAAAAAACGATATGCATAATTTAGTTATATTTAATAGATTAATTTAGCAATTGTGTGTACATGTTTTTCTAATTTCTAAGTTGTTACTGTTATTGTTGTTGTTGGTGTAGTAGATGTTATTGTTGTTAATAATAATAATAATAATAATATTATTATTAACAACAATCTAATATAGAAAACATATACACAAATAATAATAATAATAATAATAATAATAATAATAATAATATATATAATATATTATTATTATTATTATTATTATTATTATTATTATTATTATTTGTGTGTATATATGTTTTCGAAATTAGATTTAAAATATACCATACATGAAAATGTATTCAATTTAAAATATTGCATTCTTTTTGTATTAGAAGATATTTGACTGCCTTGTTATCACATTAAAGGCATATACCAGTCATTTATCTCATTTGTATAATACTATTAAGTCATCCCAACAACAATGGGATGAATTCGAAGAATTTTGAAACCTCTGTGTTGCTATTTTCCAAAGTGACAACGCCTGAAACGAAGTGTGTGAAATCCAAATTTACATTTCTGAACTTCTTAGCAATTTTTGAAAAATTAGGATTTTTACAGAAAATTAGGATTTTCAGAGAAAATTAGATCTGTACGTTCTCTCAAAGGACCTTCACACCGTCTAACAACAAAATTTAATGAAAAACGATAGACATTTTTTTTAATCATTAAAATGACCCAGGGGCTTCATGTCAAACATATCTTGTACATACCTTTTTTCATCAATACATTTAAGAGCTGCTGCACAGGATGCCCGCAAATCCCATAATGGATATGGTTTACAAGCAAAACATTTCCAGTCATCTTCTTGAACATCTTTTAAAACAGACCTTTGTAGATTTCGTTTTATGCAAGCCTGAAATTGGTATTGCAAGCACTAGTTTAGATATCGTTCTTTTCTTTTATATAAAATCAAATTTAATGAACTGACTTACACGACAAAATCCAAAGTTGCATTCAGAACATAAGTAAAGTGTACCACCCTGACCACACCAACGACAGTACTTGTCAGTTCCGTCTTCATCCACAGAAAACTCCCCTTCCCCGTAGAATTCAGCACAGGACTGCAATTAATTATACACAATGAGTTCATGATTCTAGAATTTAGCTTAATAAGTAAAACCTGTCTAAGCTGGAACCTGATGGTTCCTTCAAAAAATGTCAATCTTGGCAGGTTACCGTCTTATAGAGGGTTGCCAAAAATTCAACATATGAGTATTTCCATGTATATGATATGATATTGATATAGCACATGTTATAGCATTTTGATATGATATTGTTAGTGAAACAAAATAAAATAAATTAAAAACATAATTTGTCAATAAAAACATTGACGTAAGCAAAAAAGAATAAACATCAAAACACAGGGAAAATATAGGAACAGCATTTAAAGTTGACTCTGGTTATAATGAACTTCAGGAGACTAACATGTTTGGTTCACCCTATCAGAGGTTCTATGATGGTCCATTCAGACATGTCACAATGATTACTAAAAAGATAATAAGGTAACCAAAAACTGGCGTATTTAATATAAGAAAACAGTCAACGATGCAAGGGTGAAAATACATAGAGTTTATTTCTAAAAAAATCCACGGAACTATAATGGCAACACACCTGGGAAGAATAAATAAATAAACAAAGAATCGTTTAGGAAGAATACAGTCACTCGAACTCTGGGTTATTATATAATAATCAAAATCTTTTATGAAATGAATGAATGTTCGTACGTTTCGAAAAAAACAAGTGAAGGACATAAGAAATGGGTGATTACACAAATGTTTAGACAATAAAATATTAGGAATTTGCAATAGGGAAGGGTTAAAATTTATTATTTGAAGTTTAATCAGAAAGTATTACAATGAAGAAATTGTGGAAACCAAAAAACATCTAAAATTGGAATATAAAAATGTACAGTGAGTTTGAGTGAAAAGAAGAGCTGTCCTTTGTTTTAAATTACGTGGTGAGGAGGAGGGGGTGCAACAATGCATATAGACAGATGTGCGGTTGGCGATCTAGTAGTGCTGACATTGTGGCACAAGTGTAACCTTATTTAATTCCCATAGTTGCAGCAAGGTAGGCTGCCAAATTTTATTAACGTCACTGGTGAGTATATGGTTTTTCACGGCCTGTAGCATTTCCATCAACACAGGGTCATTTGAGAGAAGAAGCAAATTGTCACACTAGCACACAAGTTTTATTACATTATACTGCGAGCACTAAATTGTGAGGTCTACATCACATCAACTCTATTACGCTACTACAAATCTGCCAAAGATAGTATAACTTAATAGACTTCCAGGAATTCCACTGTCGACTGGTGGAAAAGCAGTGACACTTTTGATGATTGAATGGTCTGCAGACAATAAACATTAAGAATTCAAAGTAATAGCGGTGAAGCATATAACGCTTGTTGCAACCTGGGAAATCACACCAAAGCGTAACAAAAGTCACAGCAATACTGTTCCCTAGTTCGCCAAAGATACCCTTGCTGCAGGTATAAGAGGAAAACATGTCTTTCACTCTATTGTCTCAGGCTGTGACCCTTTGTACTAAGCCATTCCAAAGATAGTGCCATTAATTTAATAATAAAGTTTTTTCTTAGCAATTTAAAAATAAATTTACTTAAATGGTAAATAAAAGGTGTGGTATCAAAATATAATAATACAATATAAAATAATAATTTTTTGATACCAGACAAAATCTTTAATTTACCGTATTTAATTATTGGAAGGCGATCTAAGTAATCAATTTCCTTGTTAGCCAAGTAACAACTTCATGCTCTCTATAAACCATTCTGTTTACGCATTACATGGGTTTCTGGCTTATAGAGAACAGTCTTTTTTACTTCACATATAAAATTGTCATTTAATAGAAAATAATAATAATAATAATAATAATAATAATAATAATAATAATAATAATGATAATAATAAACAAAAAGTCATTTTCACTTATAATATTATTCCATTCTGAGCTTTTTTGTATGGGATGGTAGGTCTCCTCCTTACAGAGGTTCTGCCTTAAACTGGTTTTACTGTATAAAATATCTTACTGGTTTATAGAAAACATAAAGCAGATGGATTAATCATGTGTTTAAGGTGAACTTAAACAATAAAAATAGTTATAATGATAAAATATTTTGAAAACTATCACTTGCAAATATGTATATTACTGATTTCCAATGCATACAAAAATTTAAAGAAAACAATCCATCCTCTGGCCATGGATTAGGTGTCTTTGGTTTTGTCAATTACTTAGGATGCCAGAAAAAATCAAAAAATAATGAAACACTTCATTTGGTCTGAAGAACCCAAATATTTGATTGTGTTATTACGCTTATTCTCATACTGCACATTCCAATTGAATTCTCATACTTGGCGAGTTACACTCCTTACACAACTGATGCCATATGACAGCAAGGTTCCAAAGAAGAGGTTGCCCGGCAATGAATATTTGGTACGCATGTGATGGGTTATGGAACAGCAACCTTTTTTGGTATTCTTGGAGTGTAATGATATGTTGATCTGTGTGTCTTCAAATACACTACACTACATTATCACAGTATTTGTTCTGACTATTTTTATTTTTTAAATTTGTTAGCGACTCATACCAAATAAGAGTGTTTTATTTGTTCTTTAGCAGTGTGCTTGCAACACTTTTTGACAAATATTTAATGTGGTTTTGTACAGCAGCACACTTGCTGTTGCAGGCTTCTCAATAACCACTATTCAACTACACTTTACTATACACCAACAGGACAAAAATTCAAACTGAGGCCCTATTAATCACTCACTCAAATGTTCTTTTCACAAAAAACTTCAACACTCTCAACCTCTATGTAATGCATTGAAACACAGCCTCAAAACCATCTTAGTAATATATGGATGACTCCTTAATAGGAGAATACTTCCTTACCAATCTAGTACATTTCCTTGAAACAAAAAGACTTAATAGGCATACCTTGCATAAAAGCACACCCAAAACAGGATGTGATAATATAGTAGATGAATTACTTGAACTCAAGTGAATCTTCAGATCTTTTCCACAAGTGGTGCAGGATAATGATTCCTTTTCAAGCACATCTGAAAAGAAAATAACAAAAGTCAGAGAGATAATATCATTGGATGTTGCTGATTATATTTTGCTCAAAACATACTGCAATATACATCACTGAAAGCTTATTTATCGATAATGTTTATTTAATTTATACCCTCCAATTTTATAAATATTTCAATGTGACAAATATTTTCATACATTTTTTTTCCATTTCTAATTAATTCTAATTATTCAATCAAAAAGAGTCTTATTAACTACAAAATTGTTTGCTGTATCGACCTTTCTTTCTTTCTTTCTTTCTTGTCCTCCTCCTTCTACAGAGCGTTTAGTCATGTGACCAGTTTTTTTGACAGCCACTCATGCCATACCACATGGATCATGCCGGGAGGTGTGGCTCAGTGATTAACATGCAGAAATGATTCGATTTCATTTCACGAACGTTGGCTAACGTGTCGTGGCGCTGTGTCTTGCTGTCCCAAAATCATCCACTACACATGTTTTTATCCCTTCTGTTCCTGGACACTCCTTCTAGAGTCTTGCCTTCCAATATCTGTAAAATGAAATTCAACATTATCCAAATCAATTTCACCTGACACTTTATTGACTCATATGACACTTTATATGATTTTACTTACTTTTGAACAATGTGGAATTTTCAGCCTCAATTTATAGGCAGTTTTAGTCAATACTGTCGAGAATTTCTATATTAGTCTCGCATCATCAGCTCTTCCACAAATCTTGGCAATAAAAAGATGTCTTCTTAGCACTGATGCTGTGTCAACTTCTCCCTTCTGCGCGGTGGGACTCATTGCTAAAGTTGCTTTAAAAAAGGGGGGGGCTATTGACTACATTCAATATTTACAAAAATAAATATCATACTATAAGAAATAAAGTAATTAAAATGCAAAGTAATTACAAATAAATATTTTATAAAGAGCTTTATTAATCTATTAAATTTGTCAATTAACTTATTGCTATATTAATGTTAAAACATCTAATATTCCAATGAATTAAATATAATATAAATATTAAATAAATAATGGAAATTCTCCGAAATATGTGAGTGAAATCTTCACGTCTTAACTCTCCTCTGTGTCGACGCATCTTACAAAGGTCAACAGGCGAGGAGAAGGCGCTTGGCCCACTCTCTGGGCGGTGCCAGGTAAAATACACAAAACAGTCATAACAACGCAAAAACTGTCCTTGAAACTCGGGCAAAAAAAAAAAAAAAAAGAAAAACCCCGCCCGCGGGACCCGCCAACGATAAGAGAAGCCCTTTAATTGAATTGTTGGTGAAGTAGATACCTTTTTATTTTGATAAATAAAATAGAAGATATTGTCAGGGTATCCCCCCCAAATATTTTAATTTTCAAAAAAAAAAAACTAAAAAAATAGAAAAATTCCAAAAAAAATATTTTTTTTTCGAGGAACGCGTAGCAGATCAATCCTCAGAGCTAAAAACAAAATACAAATATACGAAATGTGAAAAATTAACAGGTTGGTTATTGATATACAAAAGATAAAGCAGTAAGCAAACATTGGATAATGTACCTACCTGGCAGCTTGGCTGGGCGAAGGAACAAGAGTTCTGGCGAATTAAATGAGGCGTTGGTCTTGTTTTAAGAAAGCAATCTGTCCTTAGAGATTCGGTCTTAGCGATGTTTTTTTTTCATAGAAAGGGCGGAGAAAGGGAGTTTTGTTCCCTTTTTGGTTTGCGTACTGGTGTGATCCCCCCCCCCCCCCCCAAGGGTCTCCGTACCCCACAAATCTCTCCCTGCCCGCGGCGTCGCCTGCTGTGATGCTCCTTTGAAGAAATACTGGTTCGGGCGACCCGCGAAGCGTTAGTGCGCGGTGAGGTGAGCCGGTCTTGTGGTGGTAAAAAGATTAAAAGAAAGAGGAAAAAAAATACGTACCACCTATTTGTGCTAATTTTAGCATGAGGTGAATGTAGAGTCGCAGAAAAAGAAGTTGATTGCGTAAGACATGTACATGATATCTGTTATTTATAGAGAAAGGGGGGTGTTAGGTTTAGTGTGTAAGGCATCTAGAGTTTGTATTTACTATTCACAGTTTAATCCATAAGGTACGCTGTTCTCAGATTTCTGAGATTCCCGCGAAAAATAAAATATAGTTGTTTTATCATAATGTGTGTTGTTCTTGTTTTATAATTAGGGTGATCCGCTAAAGAGTGTAAGTATGTATCTGTGGTAGTATGTTATTTTACCATGCTTGTTCGATGTTCTATTGATATTCTCTTTATGCTGAATTTAAACGAAACAACAATTGTTCTGTCCTATGTATTATGGTCTATTTGCCAATTGAAAAATATTGCACAAGTCGAAGCAGCCATAGCACAATACAACAGCATAAAAGGAATAGAATAGGTAGGGATTTGTCTTAGGTGTTGCTAGTTGTTTTTTGTTTTTTTATGATATTTATGTAGTGTTTGTGGGCTTATGAAAATTAGAAGTTTTAGAAAAACCAGAAAATATTATATAGAAAGATGCATGGAGGCATAATATTTCAGAGAGAAAAGGAAAGGTACAATAAAATATAAACGAAGATATTGAGAAAAGGAATACTTGGCCATCAATGAATGAGGTGGTTCGCGCGCAGATTGGAGGGAGGCCAGCCTACGTCTCCCGGCTCTCGCGCGCATACTTCTCCAGCCAATAGTTATTTTGTTTTTTGGACTATTTTATTTGTCAAATTCTATTTTTGCATTGTTCGTTTACCATCTATTTTTCTGTTTGCATATATTTTACTTATTGTATAAATATAGATGTATGAATATTAACCTTTTCTTTTTATATTTTTGTCCTTGTGTTTCTTCTGCCTGCCGGACACTACGGTACTGCGGAAATTCTAATCGATGCATCTTTCGTGTCTCCGTGTGTGTGGGTCCTTCGCACCACAACTCCAATAAACACAAATTCAAACAACACACCCCACGAGCTTATCTACCAAAAATATGACACGCAGTCCTTACCAGTGCGATTTTGTTTTTTTTTTTTAAAAATTTGGGTTTTTGTTAAAATAAACAAACTATTCTTGGTGCAGGCGGGATTGAATTGAACTGAAAGATTGAGATGTAAGTGTCCTGAAATCTCGAACCTCCACTCATTTCATAGAAAGTTTAACAGAATTTCAATCAACGAAAGATAATAATTAAATCAAAAAAACCATAATAAAATATATTTTTCACCTTGAACCTTTCTCCTGTGGCGAAATGACAAAATACAAATGTGTAGTGGTTGTTTGCTCACTAGTTTCCCACAACACGTTAGCCAACGTTCGTGAAATGAAAATCAAAAATCAAATAAAATTTATTACATGCATGTTAATCACTAGATAAAGCCACAAACCTACACCCGCTCCTTTTATGTATTTTCCATTTTTTGTTTTGTGGTTCCCTTTTTTTGTTTTTGTCTCCTATGGCCCTTTTTTTTTGTAGTGGCTTTATCTCGTCTTCCC